CTTTTGCCTCTCTTTCCGCCTCTCTTCGAAATATTCTCACTCTTCCGGCATTCAATGCCCCTCCCTCCCCGCTTTAGACGAGGCCTCTCTCTCTTTCCGCGTTGCAAAAGATCCTCTTACGCTCGACGATTCGCGTACATCTCGTTAGGAATGAAAGAGCTCGACAGCTCCTTGGCGCCGCGATCGTCGTTTGCCTCGCCAGTTTACCGAGGGTTTCGATCGACACCATCAAAACTCCCCTATTCCACTACAATCACAAGCCATTCTTTCATTCCTTTCTTCCGTCGATTTATCGACTACTGTATATCCGAACCAAGTTCCCCGACCGAACGATCGAACGATAGCTAGATATAAAAATTTCAGCGAAATGGTTTCGAAACGGAAATGGAGAAAGCCGTTGCCGATACGGGCAACGATCGAGTCCGGAGTCGAGGTTTCGATCGTTTCGAAATACCGAATATAATTCTTTAATCGTTGCATTTATTTATCGGCGTGGCGAGTTATCGGATTGGCTCGAACGAGCGTATCGATCGCCCGGTTGTCGTACTCGAGGCAACGAGACGTCAACGTCCAACGTCGACGTCTTTCCGCGTCGTCGTCATTGTCTGGTCTCGACTCCGGCGGCGTCACACAGCGCGGTTGACACACGCTGGATCGCGCGCACACAGGGGCCCCTGTGATAAAGTAATCCGAATTAATTGGCCCCTAATTAATTAATGCAAATCACGGGCAACTCGCCTCGAGCCGGGAAACTAATGATCATTTACGTTACGGGCGGCCACGCAACGCCGTGTTCTCGTTCCTTTTGGTCCACGACCACCACCGCTATCACCCTCGGCAGGCGTAACGGCGGAAGGAGGGGTGAAACGACTCGAGGGCCACCTCGTTCCTCCACATCGACTCCTCCACCTCCACCTCCATCACCACCACCACCACCACCACCACCACCAGCGACAACACTTTTTCTCTTTTTAGGCTGCGGAAAATAGCGCACACGTACGTACGTACGTACGTACGGAATGTTCGGGCGAAAAGGATAGGACCGCTAGCACAGGGATGAGCGAGAGGGTGGTGGAAAGGGGTTGAGCTCTTGACATATTGCTACCTAGGCAACTCGACGAAGTGCTCTTCACCCACCCCTCCCCACCCCTCCTCTCTCTCTCTCTCTCTCTCTCTCTCGCCACCGCCTATCTTTCTCGCTTCGTTTCTCGCCCAGCTCGGCTCCCTTCGCCACCCCCCAGCCACCCTCCTTCTCTTTCGCTTCCTTTTTTTTCTTTTTTTTTTTTTCGCCCGTGCAACCCTTTCTCTTCCCTTTCTTGTTCGATGCACTCTCTGTTCCACGGCCGGGCCGCCAGTCTGCAGCGAGGTACGGTCGGGGTTGCAAGCGTCCTCGGGAAAAAAATAATCCGCGCGTTTTTTCGCGGATGCACGCAATCCCCTCGACCAACTCGACTCGACTCGTGCACGATTGATCGAGAATCATGCCGAGACGGGAGCCCGTATCCCCGAATTTTCGCGTATCACGCAAACGATTCGTTGTTCCTTCGCCGATCTCCATCAGCCGCGCGTTCTCGCGTTCTCTGAACACGTCGACGTAACGTCATGCACCTCTTACGTCTGTAAAGATATATTTTTTATCATTGACGATGAATCTTCCCGATTCTCGAAGGACCGTTCCGTTCTCCGTGTGCAAGTGAAGAAAGATATTTTTAGATATCCTGCTTTCCCCTCTCCCCCTCCCTCTCTTCCCTCCTCCCACCCCTCCCAGCCATCCTCCAATCCGCCCGTTGCGTTAACGCGTGAAATCGCGTCGCAACGATGAAATAATTACGTCGCGCCAACTTTGAAGAAGCGCACAAAGGGAAATTCTCTACCTTTCATCGGGAAAAAAAGTGTGTTCTTCATTTATTAAACGGCGGCGGGCAAGAAGGTAAAAATAAATTCCACGTTTACGGGCTCGCATTTAAAAACTGGGACACTTGGGAGGGACGAAATATCTGTCTGTCGTCTAAAGAGATCGCTATTTGTGATATATATATATATATATATATACACATATACTCGTTCACATCTCACTTCGTAAAATCTCGAGATTACGATCCTACTACTCTTTTTTTCCTTAATCGATGTACATGCTCTTGAGAACTCTGTTTCTGGATCTCGTTCTATCGCCTACGCGGTAGGAAGAATTTTCGTACGTCAACCTTTTGCACGTATACATACGCACGCGCATGCACGCACACACACACACATACACACACGTAGAGTCGGATAAAGGGTATATTAAAGTATTATTTATGTAACAGGCTCCCAACCTGTTAAAGCAATCATTACTGGTTTTTACGTAATGCGACGCCGGCTGTTTTGTAATTACCGTTATATACGCGAGAAACTCTCGATTCGTCCTCGCGAAAATCGTTTCCTCCCCCATTTCTATACGAATCTCGTCTATTTATACGATAACGCGGGCCGAATACGCGCGTTCCACCTTCTCGTTACGCAAACGAGATCCGATAATAACAGGGAACAGGTTGATGTAAGTCGGGCGATTCGTTGGATAGAAAATAGATGATCAGAAGATGATGGTTGTTTCAACGATACGATTACGTGATACGAGTTAGTGCCTCGTTTCGAATAATCGAGCTTTTCATCGGGAGAGCGATTGAGATTTTTAGAAATTAATTCCTCTCCTCGACACGACTCTCTGATATCCTATAGAAATTGAAGAAGGAGAAAAAAAAAAAGGAAAAGGAAAAAAAAGAGAAGGGGGAAAAGAAAATATAATTCAATGGTTTTTTTTCTCTCCTTCTTCTCACGAATAATTCTTAAAACTCTTCTCGCTAAGCTCCTGTCTCTCTCTCTCTCTCTCTCTCTCTCTCTCTCTCTCTTTCTCATTCTCGGTCGCTCGATTGCCTCTCGACGAGTAAATCAGGCGGAACGTTTCCCGGCTAAGGTGCAATCGCAGCTGATTCGCGTCGTGCCTAATAGGGGCAAACACGTTTTCATTTCCACCAGCCGTCCTCGGTTCGCGGATTAGCGGAATACGGAACGGGATTGGATATTCATCGAATAACGATAATGGACAACGATAATTGTGCAAATGGTCCGCGTGGCCGATCGTGTATCGATTCATGATGATATTCGCGCGCCAACTACAACCGTGCCACTCCACCATTTTCTTCCCTTTGAAATTTACGAAATGGGTGAATAATCGGGGAGGGGAAAATTGTTCTTCCTCTCACTTTAACCGACCTCATTTTCCACTTGTCCATAAAGGAGAGATTTTTAATCCCATAACTGATCACATCGCGCATCTACGTATCTGTGCAACGAAAGTCAAAAATATATATATATATATATAATTATAATAATATCGATAATATAATATTTAAAAAATAATGCATACATCATAGAATGCATCTTCAACGAAGAACCATGAAGTTCGATCAATGTATAATTATACATAAACGTGACAGTGCAACGATGAATTAATAATCAATCTCGCTCGAAAGAAGAATTATAAGAATAGAGGATAAATATCGGATCGGACGAAAGTGGAGGAAGAATTCGAGCAAACGAAAAACTCGGACGCGTATTTTAATCCCGCCAAGTTTACGACATTACCTGGCGGCCATAATTCAAGGGGAGCAGTCCCGTGTCCTTGCTGCACGGTTGTTCGCGCCATTATAGTTGGTACAATAACACGCGTGAATGGGCAAGTGGAAAGTGTTATCGATGGGAACCGGCATGGGCATTGTTTTATGGTTTGCTTCTAAATGGTCCATCCATCACGCTTTATCTTGATGGAGTATTCCGCCCCGCCTATTCATCCTTCAAAACGCTCCCAGTTACCGCCACGGTCGCGGCTAGCCCCGCTAATTATTAGCCCCTTTCTCGTTCATTGTGCCGACGCGGTGAATGGTCGTACACGAAGAATGCGCTTTTCGTCCACTCGAGACGCTCGATTTCCCTTCTCCACTCGTCGAACTCCTCGACGCGTACTTTCCTGCGTCTCTCCAAGCCTCGACGCTCCAATTACTCGGCTGGAAAGTAGCGGAAAGCGCGGCTGTATCGCGCTTCCATCGATCGCGTTCCCATCCTCGTCGTCCCGGATTATCGACGTCGTCGAGACGAGACGTTTCGATAATCGTTGCAAGGCGAGGCGCAACCACTTCCTTCGGCCATCGAAGGATATTTTTCGTCTCTCGTTCCGCGATCGGATCTCAGCTCGATTTAATTTAACGTTAAACTCTGGGAAGCTGGGAAGGATTTGCATAAGATTTGCTGCTCGCCCGAGGCGAGACGAAGTCCGAAGGAGAGACCTCGTTAAAGGGGATTTCACAATAATTTCTCCTCTCTCTCTCTCTCTCTCTCTCTCTCTCTCTCTCTCTCTCTCTCGGATCGCGAAAACTGGAGCCGAATATCGTACGGATCGTATATCACGGACGCGACGAGGGTACGCGGCTTCGCTTGTCCCCTCCGGCTGTCGTGTATTTTTAACGCCGTTCTCCTCCTCGTCGCGAGCTCGACAAATACTGCGAGCTCGAAAAGGTGTCGCTTCAAAGCTCGAAGACAGTGCAAATCTTTTCCGTCCACTGTCCATTCGCCTCGAGTTTTTTAAGAACTCGAATTGAATCGAAACTCGCGTCATCCGCTTACACGTTTCAATTAGCATCGACTTCCTATAGATAATTTCCTATTAATATCCTCGCTACAAGCGGTGACCTGGATCGATCAGGACTCTTTCCCTCTCCACACCCTTCTCGCTTTCTCTCTCTCTCTCTCTCTCTCTCTCTCTCTCTCTCTCTCGCTCGCTCGCTCGAATTACCTCTCTTTTTTTCGCGCTGCTACGGATTATTTTAATTACCCTCTCGATCGAACGGAAAGAAAGTTTGAGAAAATTTGTGAGATTCCAACGACTCGGTTACTCGTTAAATGATTAGTCGAAAGTGAAGGGAAATGGAACACGTACGTAACGAATCCATTCCATTTGATTTCAGGTAATATGGGTGTGCATCCTTTGCCGCAAGAAGCAAGAGTTGCTGTCGAAGACCGGGCAATGGATAACGAAGACGGGCCTGGCTGCCGGGGACAACGCGATGGTGCGACGAATGCAGGACATGCAGGTGGGTGGTCCTCCGGGACTCGTGGACCAAACTCAGGATAAAAGACCGAAACTCGAGAGAGCGCACAGCGCGGCCGAAAAGGAGAATTTGCCATTGTTACTAAGCAGCGGAAGTTTGCTCAGAAGGCAGTACTCTCAGCAAGAGCAAGTACGATTTACTTCCATTCACTTACTTGTTTGACCACGGGGATTAAAATTGCTCTCCACGGTCGTTAAATAGCGCTCGTGCACGCACTGTTGCTCTGGATATACAACAACAACAACAACAACAACAACAATATTTTAAAAAATATATATGTGTATATATATATATATGCAACAACAATTACAACAACAATCGCTAAAAACACATAGCTAAGCAAATTCGGTCGAAGCAAGGCAATGCAATTGATTTTATATATACATCTCACCATCTCTCACTGCGCTCATTCTCACCAATCATTGCTGTTGCGTCCCTCGACGATTTTTATCGATAATTTTATCTCACGATTTTTTAGATAGAATCCGTTTATATACGTGATCGTCCAGAGACGCAGCGGCGTAACCGCATATTGACCAACCACATGCTGATATGAACGAAACAAGAACGCAACAATGTAACGCACTGTTGTTTGCATCCACCCAACCACTGCAACCCGACACGCGGCGAATATTATCGAAAAAAACCGGGGCGAAAAATGGCGGGGCGGGAATTTCGAAAAAAATGGCAGCTTTCTGGTGGCGATTACAGGGCCCAGGGCGTCGACTGCCGACGAGCGATAGCGGAGTGGACATGTCCGTTTCGCCTCACTCGAGAAGCCTTCCGACGCCCCACGTAGCTCCATCCCATCAGGCCCAACAACCGCCCAGGCATCCGGACGCTTACGCGGAGGATGACCCGAATCTGTACAGAGGGGAGATCGACGGTCTCATGAAACAGCAGAATTACCAGCAGAGGCAACGGCCGATCTACCCGGTGAGTGGGACCTACCTGGCTCTCTCTCGATTGGTTCAGCCCCAAATGGGAACGAGCGTGGTGACGTTAACACTCGGCTCGAGAGAGGGAGAGAGAGAGAGAGAGAGAAAGAGAGCGACTTGGAAAATTAAACATTCAACAAGTTATGCGGCCATGTATATCCCACGGAGCGTGTAGGAGCGGATGCTAACGATATTCTTACGTAGGCGGTGCTCGAGAGGATGCTCTCGACTAGCTAACACACGGGCTGGATCCAGTGGAGCCAAGTCGTCGAACAAGAAGCGGATAAAAGTTTCCAATGTCTGCTTTATCCTGGCCTTTACTACTACTACTTTTCTCGCGCCACGTTTCTACGCGCATCGATCGAGAAAACGCTGAAAAACGTGTTCGATAAAAATCGTGTTCTCTTTCACTTTCACGCCTGTTCTATCCTCATTTCCATCTCATTTCACGTTTCAACCTTGCTTCTGCGCTGTTCTCTACGAATCTTGTCTCGGTCTCTGAGAAGATATCTTTGATATCTTCTATTCTGGATCTTTCTTCTTCTTCTTCTTCTTCTTCTTCTTCTTCTTTTTCTGCCTCTTCGTCTTCTTCTTCTTCTTCTTCGTTTCTGAGCTTTTTTTTCCCTCCCCGATTTATAGGATCAGAACACGGATCTCGCGATGACATATCAGCCTATGGTAGAAGCGGGCCCACCACGAAGCGCGATACATCCCCCTCAGCAGCATTCGGTGCATCAGACGCAAAGCGCGCACCCCCCGCAACCGGTGGTCGGGCAGGGTGGTGGTCTTCAGCCTCAGAGAAGCTTCAGCAGCAGCGAGGAGGAGCGAAGCACACCCGAGTGTGCAAGCGACGAGCCTGACGAATCCGAGAAGGGTGAGTCTATGCTCGATACTTGCCAATTCTTTCTTCTTTACCACCAACGGACAAGAACGAGTTCGAGAGCGAGACCGCGGATTTCGATCTCGCATCTCTTCGGATCTCTGAACTCGCGGAACCGAGTAGATATGTGTCTAGTTAACGATTTCTCTTTCGATATAGACATGATGTTTTTATTCGAGTAAATATTTGTGAACGATTTCAGAGTTGGAGTTTCATTTTTATTTTCATTTTGACAAAGATTATTTGATTCGCGATTCGCGATTTAGGGGAATGCTTTGGACAATGAATGAGCACGACGGCGCGCGGAGGAGGTGACATTTTCTTAATCAATTTTCGATTGAAAAAAAATCAAACATCGTCTTTTTTTTCTTTCTCTCTCTCTATATATATGTATATATATATAAGTTAACAGTTGGATTAAAGTGGAAATGAGAACTTTAACCAATAAACGTTGTTTCATAGTACGATAAAAGTTCGAATATCTAGTAGCACTTTGCTCGAACACTGTCAAAGTTAATCGAGGACCGATATTGGCCGGTCATTCTTTCGAGACGTCACATCCCCGCCGTGCCAGTCGTATAATTCAGCAGCGACGCGGTTAAACGTCAAATCCACCATCGAATTACCGTCAGAGGCTGGTGTAGAGGATCGGCTACGACGGAGAGAGACATTAGAGAGGGGTGAGCTGATCGGGAGGGTCAGCTTCGCCCTTGAAACTCGGTGCACGGAGGAGAGCGCAGGCTTTCCGTGTCACTGGATAATTGGTTTACGGAGAATGTGTGCACCTGTATCGCGATATTTACAGGCGAGCCGTTGAAGGAAAGTGTAATCGACCGATACGATGCTCTAAAAGATCTACGTGCGTACGTGTTTACAAAGCGATTAAACGCTCCGTATCCGGCGAAGAGAGCTCGCCAAAATCGATTTCACGATTTTCCCAATTTTCCTCCGGATAGGGGAAAAAAGAAAGAAAATCTCTCGAAAATCGGTGAAAAACGAGGGGAAGAGGAACGCGGAACGCGTAGAGATCGGTCCGTTTTCGAAATGAGAAATGGGAGAGGGGGAGGAAAAAAAAATATCAGAGCGAACGAAATATTTGAAATGGAAAAGTAGGTCTACTCGGTGGCAGGTGAATCGGCACGAAGTGGAGTGGCAGATGAAAAGCGATACCGCATTATCGCGTGGTGGGCGCGCGAGGGGAGGGAGCGTAACCGGGTTCCTCCTTGGCTAATGAGTAAATTTAGGTTACCGATGCCAGCAGCTCCAGTGCACGCGCGTTCTACCGTGTGTTCACCGAGAGAACGCTCAAACGTCGCTTTTACGCGACTCATTCGAGAGCTGGTTTCCTGGAAGAGCGGACGTGCCGTCAGTCGAGAGAAAGGGAATACGCGTGCATGGGTTCCACGGTTGATTAGGGATCGGTGAACTGTGAACCGATTGATCGAGGCGAGCATCATCGCGAGAGAGAAAAGCATCATCTCGCCAACGCTGGAAACACGCATCGTCTTTCTTCGTATTCTTCTCTTCCATTGTTTCTCTTCCCTTTCATTGTTTCACTGCATCGATTTTATTTTTCGCGATGCAAGTGAATTTTTCGATTCGTTCTTTTTCTTTTTTCCTCTTCGAAACGACGAGAATTCGAAGAGAGATCGATACGTCGCAGGATTTCGATCGGAAATTTCCGTTTTTTTTGGAGAAATTTTCTCGGAGATCTCTCATGGAAATGCTCTCAAGGGTTAAGTTCGTTTTTTCCCAACCGTATCGAGCGAAGGGAATCCTTGAATCCGGTGAATTTTCTTCCAATTTTTCCAATCCTTTTTACCCCGAGTATCGAGTATCGAGTTGACCAGAGATACGCGCGGATTCCCGATCGGCATCCCAGCTATCCTCCTAGCCGTTAAATCCTCGATCGGATCTCCACGATCGTGTATATCGTATATCCTGCGGGAATTCTCGAATTCTGCCTTCTCGGTCTCGTCGTTGCATCGATTCTTGCCTACCTTGCCTACCATCCCGCCTAGGTTTCTCCTCTCTTCCTCTTTGTTATACCTTTTTTTTTTTTTTCTTTCCTACCCTCGCCTCTCCTCTTCGTATTACCCTACATAATTCCACTCCACTTACACAGCTTTTACGCTTTATTTTCCTTTTATCTTTACGTACTTTATGATCCTTCCCCCTCTTACTTCTCCCTTCTTATTTTGTAATTTGTTTTTCCTTATCTCTCTACACATTCTTCACAATTCTTTTAATTTTAATTTGATCTTTCCTCCCTCCCCTACAATTTACCCGACTCGCCCCTCCCCGACTCGTTTCTCCCTGCCCCTTTTTTCTCCCGCGTCTCTCCTCCACCTTCCCTACCATTACGCCACCCTCCACCACTCTCCCCTCTCGCCCATTCGCTACGCCCACACGGCCCGCGTGACGTCACGCGGCCAACACGTGGGCGAATTCAAACATCTATCCCTTTTGCTATTTCTGGAGTCTCTAGTCTTCGCAGCAAGGAGGAGCGGAAAGTATCGATGGTCGAAATCTCATCCTCCTCCCCTTTCCCCTTTGGGTTGAGCGCCATTCACTCGTCCATTTTCGTTCCTTTCGGGAGGGAGGGAGGGAAGGGGAGAGGGGCATCTTTTTTTCCACATTTTGCACGCTTCACAGGCCGCGCGAACGCTCGTACGTCGCGCGCGCACCCTACTCGAACTCGCCTCGATCCTCCACGATGGCCAGCCACGGTGTTTACGCTTCTGGTCGCCCCCTACTTCGAGAATCGATTTTCCACTTCGGGGTGGAAAATTTGAGCGGAGCAGAGGATTCCAACGGCGAATATGGAACCGCAGTTTCTTCTTCTGGGATCGAGGAGATTCGCGAGTTTGTTTTACCATTCTTTTAAAAACTGGAGATTTATCTCTTAAATCTTGACGATGATCAAAGATGAAAATGGAGTTGCGGATAGGTGCGTACGTATGACGAAATCTTGTCGGTTCTTATTCTTCCCTTCTTTCGTTTCGACTTGCGTCCGAGCTTGTTGTCCGAGTTTGTTGTCCGAGTTTGTTGTCCGAGTTTGTTAACCTTTATAAATAACCTTCTAGCTTTTGGCAAACGGGTTGCATCGATATTTAACTCGTGCCGGGGAAAAAATTGCGCCAACTGATTTAGCGAAGATTTAACTTCGATGTTAAACTTGTCCCGGTGGACTCGTGACATTTCTTGCCGTGACACAAGTCGGCGGAGATCGGATGAAATTATGATGAAGAGGACGGGATTTCAAGGATCATTCGGTGGCCGGCTTCTAAATCTTGCAAACGAGGAGTTTTATTAGAGTCGTTAATCCAAAGCGAAGTAACCGCCCATCAAAGGGATTGTAAGGGAAAAATGTTTATCAAATATTCGCGGATCGATCGAGCGTTGATAATTGATTTTGCATTGAATAATTATTACTTGAAAATGTTTCGGAATTTTTTAACTCCGTCCCCTTCTCTGCCCCTTTAATTCTTAAACAAGTCTATTTGCGGCCGACTATAGATAACTTCGAGTTACCAGTATTGCTTTTCCGATACAATACGATTCGAACACGACTCTTTGTGCATCGACCTTTGGGGCCCCAAGAATTGCTCGTATGTCGGGACGCAAACGATCCCCCCCTCCTCCCTTCTGCCAACTTCATCGAAATTTAATCCAAGAAGACATTGCAATTTGACGGTCGAGGACTCGATTCGAGGCCGCCATTATCTTTCTCGGGAGATGGCTATCGGAATTGAAATTACTTTGTTTACCGAAAGAGGCAAAGCGTGTCTCTCTCTCTCTTCTCGTACGACATCTCGTCCTAATTACGAAATATTTTACGAAAATTTTCCATGTGGATCTTTAATCCTGTTCATATGCATATATATGCATATGCGATTCGAGACAGTTTTTAGAACCGAGATCATCGATTAACATCGATCAGAATAATTTCTCCGTGGCCGCACTCCCGCTTTCAACGAAACCAGATTAAAGGCTTAGAAAACGCTTATTGAGGGGGCGATTGAAGAGAATCCAGTTTCCACGTTCAAACTGGTTGTTAGGATTGCAGGATTGTTGATTGTACGGAACGGCGGTGAAATTCTGAGATCGTGTGTACGGGAACGACAGCGGTGCAGCTATGCGCTTGGTGCATACGCGCTGATGCGGACGGCCGGGTCCACTGCTATGCGGAGATCGCGCTTATTAAAGACGCCATCGCTGCGTATTCGTGTTTGAAATTCCGCTAGATTTTCCGTTGGAATCGCGAGGATCCAACGAAAACAATTTGGTTCGTTTTCGATTGTCTTTTATTTTTTTAACGACGGAGCGGAGCTTATGTCGAATTTCACGATGATCAACGCGTAACGAGTACGTAAATGAATAAAAAAGAGAGCATCGATCTGTTCGATTGCACGATCCGATAAGGCGAGCCTTGTTATCGCGATTGTCGAGAAGAGAGCTCGAAAGTGAATCGGTTCGAAACGAAAGCTCGAACACGCGCGTGTAAAGAGATGGAAATTGGGCGAAAGTTGGCGCGTGTTGCGCGTGCGATGGGCTCGCACGCGATAGAAAAGAGAGAGAAAAAAAAAAGGAAAAGTGACCTGCGTCGGTCGGGCGGCGTTGTTGCTCCCATTCGTAGATGCACACAATACAAATTAGTGACTAGTGAAAATTAGTTTGTAGAAAGTTACGAGAGGTAAGTCCGTTTACGCGCGCGCGCTCGCATCTCGCAAGTTTCCCTTTAACGAAGGATTTGCAGAGGGACGAAGAGAGCTGCTGCACGTCCATCGGATCCCCCAGGCGGACGAGGAGAAGGGAGAGGCGAAGGATAAATTGTCACGGCCACGCTTTGGCCTCTCATCGAGCCTGCTCCGCCTTTGATTACCCCTCTACTCTCCTTTGACAGTTTCCACCACCCGACCCGACCACCGTCCCCAGACCACCCGTTTCCCCGTTCACGCTAAAATTCTATTAAACAGATTTTAATTCGTTTTCAGGAGCGACCTGCGTTCCCGGAGAGAACCCCTCCCCCCCAGTAGGTTGAAACCTCTACTCTCCTCGTCCTCGTCCCACGCGTCCCCCTCCCACTCCCCCTTCCACGCGCCCATCGTCACGGAGAGCCGTCCATCGATGTTTCTCACGTAGGTTTCGTGGAACGAGACCTATAAGAGATCGCGATGACGATGTGGCGACGTTACGTCGCGAACGATTGCCAAATGAGAGGGCGTTCGTGGCCGCAATCATCCTCGAGGTCTCCGCCGCGATCTTTCCAGTTTTCTGTGTCGAGGGATTGGCCGCCGCCGCCACCACCACCATTCCTCTCCTTCGTTGGTCCCGTTCGTCGTTCCGTGTATTTATCGCTTTCAAGTTTAACCGTATTTTTCAATCGTGGTGGGCGTGAACCGTGAACCAGATACGCGAATATTACGAGGTTGGGGGTAAGGGGGGTTGAAGTCGGCGTCGCATAACTTTTTTAAATTAAGACTTAAGACGTCATCGTAGCTCCGTAACTAGGGAGACCGTTTGTATCTATTTACATTCCCTTCGCGCGCTTACTAATTTTATTTATCGCTCGCTTAACGGGAAATATCGCGTCGATGGACACGCGATCATCCCGCCTACGTTTAAACGATCCTTCGACACCCGGCCTGGTTTCAACGGTGGTCTCTTTGCGCGCACAACTCTTCGTAGCACGATCATCGTTGATCGTGCAAACGATAGATTCCCGCGGAATACCGATTATCTTTCAACCCTGAACGACGACAATGGGTGAAATGTGGGGCAGAGTTTCGTTCCTCGAACGAACGTCGAATTAATCGAGGTTGCCAGCCATTCGATAATGAGTATATCAATCAGTGGATGAGCGATCCACGAAGATGGATTCGAATCGGGGATGGAAGATTCGATATTTTACGATTACGTTATATCGTAAAATCCACAAGATCCTTTCCTCCGTTCCCCATGTAAATCCAGAAACGTGGAGAATGTATACGTAATATAGAAAATACGTCGTATGATTATATAAGAAGAGACGGCGAGCCGCGTCTCGAGTGGCGATCTTATGGCCAATTTGCCAGTTTTATGATGCGTGATACTTCACCTTATTTACAGCGAGCTTGCACGACGAACGAGACCCCTTCCTTCCTTCCTTCCTTCCTTCCTAGGCTAGATCCTCCTTTCAGAAACGATCCAGATCGAATTCTCGAGGCCGGGCCGTATCATAACGAAAACGACGACTTACTTCTTGCGTGTAGCGAGAGAACACCAGACTCTGCCTGCAATGTATTACGATTACCATTAGTTTTATATATATATATATATATACATATATATGCGTGTATATATATATACATATATACAGTGTTCGATTGTTAACATAGAGTGCAGTTCTCATAGCAATGACTAATATCTTTATTTATTTTCTTTTTCCTCTCTGTTCTTCTTGCATCGAATTGATTATATTTATTATTATTATTGTTATTGTTATCATTATTATTAATATTATTATTATTATCATTATTATTATTATTATTATTATTGTTATAGCATATAGATACCCAAACTATTGTTCAGAGATTTAACTAACTAAGAACCATCATCCCTTTTGCGAAACCACCAATACAGTAGTTGATAATAGATTTTTCGAGAAATTATTTATTAAGTTAAACCACTTATCTCTTTATATTCGATATGCATCTAAACACACACGAATTCTCCGGGGGAGGGAGAAAATGAAAATGTTTCTGAGTTTATTTTCGTCGAGTTCCATGCTCGAGTCCGAAAGAGATATATATAATATATATTATCGCGACCGCTCTTATTCGTGTTCTCTGTCTTTTTTTTTTTTTGTTAAGTTTAGCGATAAGCGAAGCACCGTTACGCATCTAAAGGGACATGTGTGACTTAAAGAGAGATCGCCTTTTAGGGGATAAACCGCCGTCCATGGTGGTCACTTCCAGGAGCTCGAGGGAGAAGCCCGGGGACAGAATGAATCGTCAGTTCCTCGCGGTACCTACTAATTTTCTCAAAATGCAAATAAGGCAGTTCGTTTTCCGCTATATAAATATATATATATGAAACCAAAAGTATACATATATATATCTACCTATAAATATACATATATATATATTTTATGTATAATATATATATTATATGTATATCTTTGCGTATGCGTGTGCATGTGTGTGTACGTCATCTGCCGACCGATTGCGATCGTATCAACCGATCTTCCTTCGAAAATTATTCTATTCGCGTTTATTTCCCTCCAAAAACCCATCCCCCTCCTCTCCTTCGTTTCTTTCAATGGGTTCAATTCGCCATTTGGTTTTTTTCACCAGCCTAACGACGCGCGAAAACGAGCGAATTATTGGCCAAGGGACACGTGTGCGATCTCATATGGCGCCACGTTTCTTCCAAACGTTCCTATCCTATCCTCCCCCTATTCTTGGAAAAGAAAATTGCCCGAAAATTGCCGATCGAAGAGCGATCGCGGCCACGGGAAAACGTTCCTCTTTTTTTTTTTTTTCTTTTACCTTTTTCTACCTTGATTCGCGAAAGAAAAAAAAAACAAAAAAAGAATCCACGAGCGAAATTTTTCAATTCTTTCGAAAATCGAAAATCGGGCGAAAGAGAATTCAAAAGTGATCTCGAATGTATCCGGCGAGAAAGTGCGATCGGTCGGCAGAGCTGTAACAGATTTTATTTGTTCTACTTTGGACGGCTACGAATCGTGCACAGGTATACAAGTATCTATCGTTTACACCTCACTCACGCCACGTACACGTAATCGCCCACCAAAGATATTAAAACCCCGACGTTCTCTCACGATATTCTGTTGCTTCGATGTTCGTCTCGAAGATCCGATATGTTGATTATACGCACAAGTGACGCTGCAAACATATTTTTTTTTTTTTATCGCGTACACGTACCCCTTTGTATACCTACGAAACACTTTTCCACCCCCACGAGAATTCTCGCACGCCTCTCGCGTCTCTCTGTTTCTCGAATACGAACGAACGATTCGACGTTGCTGCAACGCGAATTCGAATCGAGGAGACACGAATTTCTCTTTCTCTCTCTCTCTCGTTCGAAGAAAACGAGATCCATCGCGCCGATCTATCTCTCTCGACTCGCCCTCTCGAAGCGTGCGGAATTCTCTCTTCTTTCGATTCTTCTTTCCGTTCTTCTCACCGCGCGAAAATAAAAACCTCGTTTCGAAGGTAGCTCGAAGCGACGAAGGGGAATCTCTGTGGCCGGCGAGATTCGAGAAATAGAAAGAAAAAAGAAAAAAAATGGCATCGCTATTGTGCACGCGCACACACGTACACACACATACAACACACACCACCCTTGCACACACGAAGCGTGTACAGCGGCCGGGTCCAGGATTCGTCGATTCGTGTCCGCCCGAGCACCGTTCCTCACCACACTTTTCCGCCAAATTTTCCGGGCAAAGCCTGCACCCGATCTCTTGGCTATGGGTTATGAGACAGGTCCGTATAACCGAAACGCGGTTATATCGTACACACCGAGAGAGAACGCGCACGGCTTCACGGAATAGGAAGGGAAGGATAGAGGGAAACGGTTGGACACATGGAGCGATTGATAGGAAAGCGATATGTGACACAGAATGTTGTGATGACATAGAATTTCTCACATCTCTGAATTCTCTTTGAGTCTGGCAAAATTGAGGATCGAGGGAAAAAAAGAAAAAAAGAAAAAAAGAAAAAATAGAACGAGTAATAGTTCGTCACAGGGGGAGTGGTGAAGGGTTTGAAAATTTTTCTCAAGAGAAAGAAAGGGATTTGTGATTAATTAGATGCGATTAGGGGATAGAGTCGAAAGATATGACGGTTAAAAAAAAAAGAAAAAAAAAAAATTGGAGATAGAAAAGCTCGATAGAAGAGAATGAGAGCAGAGGAAACGAAACGTTTTTTGGATCTACTGTAGGGAAGGGGTACTACCACCATACGGGAGGTCCGATATCAATGTCCGGCGGTGGACGTAGGCACAACGGACCCCACAACGGGCACTACAACATGGCCGCGATGACCATCGAATATAACGGTCATCATCCACCGCGAGAGCCGCGAAAAGAGGAGAACACTCTCGTGAGACGGAGCTTCCGAAGGAGTGGCGACGAGTGGCGCGCCGACAGTAGGAGGTGCGTGTGAAAAAAATTGGCGATCCGTGCGTTCGTTTCTCCAATAACAACAACAAATTTTCTTTCTAAATCGAATATTCTTTCTTTTTTTTTTTTTTTTTTATTTTTTCTCTCTCAATTTTTCGTTCCTTTATCGCTCATTTATCTCGTCCTTTCGTTCGCGTCGGTCGTCCCGGGATTGCCGGGATTCTGGCATATACCTGGACGTAAAATTTCCAAGAATTCAAGAATTTTTCAATTTCCACGATTCTTCCTCCACGTGATCGTGATATATTTTTCTTTTTTCTTTTCTATCTTCAATTAACAATCGATAACATAATTGTGTTGTTGTGTCAACGGACGAGTCTCTGATAAACTCGGGATCAAAGATCGTCACGTAACGTAGGAGCTCTACTCGCGACGAGTTCGAGTTACGTGTGATAGAAGTAGATGATTAGAAGAGTGATGAAAACTGTGATGAAAACGGGAAAACACCGCACGGAACACTTGCGTACACACACATACATACATACACAAACACACATAGAAATGAACACTCGCAGACGCACACATACATACAGTAACCAGACACACGTTCTCGTATCTCCTGTGTATGTGGCGTGTCCATTAGGTTCACGGAGAGGAGGGGGAAAAAGACAGTACGATTTGACGGTGGGACCAATGTCGGCGGCCCTCAGGAGGATTGGTCTTGGGAGGCCGATCGGCAGGGTAGCCAAGACAGCGCGACCAAAGACTCCGGGATAGACACCTCTAGCACGTTCACGAGCAGTGAGGACAGCAACAGGGGCGACCTGCCCAAGGTACGGGGCCCGTTACGGACCGACTCGCGTCGATCGTTCATGTATCAATCAATATTTCCGGAAAAATATAATAATTTGCTTGTCGATCGACGAACAACACGAACAAAAAAAAAAAAGGCTAGAGTTCCATCGATCTCTCTCTCTCTATATGAGTTCGAGTTCTCTCGAGAGCGCAATGAAAAAGAAAAAAAGGAGAAAAAAAAAAAAAAAAAAAAAAAACATGGCCAGGCCAGTCGCTTTCGATCAGATCAGAGTTATACACGTTATAGGATGGACGAATGTAGCCGAGTGGTTGATCGAGTAAAAGGGGTCTCTGTCGCGCTAGCTAGTCAAGAACGATGAATAAACGTACACGGCTTTTACAAGATTTCACTATGAGCTATGTATACTTTTTTTTTTTTTTTTCCCCCCACGTCGCGTAATAAATCGCGCCTAATTTGTACGAAGTGGCGCTTAGACAATTTATTCGTCGCGGGTCTCTGTCGTCCAAAGTGGAATACGGTTTTTTTTAATTCTTCTCCTCGTTTCCTTGCTTCTCATATATATATATATATAGCTTTAGTGGAGAGAGACACACATAGAACGATGATTTTATTATTATACATCCGTGGTCTGTTTATTAGTGCCTGATTATTTGATTGGTTCATGTACCATTAGCGTAGTAGTTTTAGTGTAACGTTTGGATTTAACCCTTTCGTTCACATTCGACGAGAAGAGGAGAAACAAGAAAACTTCGATCTTTCCTTATTCGTTTCGAATAAAATGTAGATTCGAGTAGATACACGCGTGGATTATATATATATATATATGTATATACATGCGATATATATATATATTTTTTTCTTCTCTCTTTAGACGCTTCGTTCGTTCGTTCGTTCGTTCGAGATCGTGAAATCGAGCGTGAAAGGGTCGAATGCGTGACGAAGGGGTTAATTACACGACGTAATTATGTCAAATGCCGGGCGAGCCGAAGTTTCAGGGAGGGAGAAAGATTCCACCCGTTTTCCACCCGCGCCTTCTCTGACTCTTCAAACAATATATATATATATTTTTTTTTTCTCTACATGTTTCTTCTTCTTTTTTTTTTTTTTTTAATCTCTTCCTTCCTTACTTTCTTCTCTTACTTTGCCATTTCACATATACATTGTGAACTTCGTATGACGAAGAAACCTCTTTTGCTCGATTCACCCCCAAACTTCGAGCTTGAAGGCTTTCGTGCTTGGATCCGCGCGTACTTTTCGTTACGTTACGTATTATTTCCAACGCATCTCAGTTTCTATATAATGTATTATATATATATATACATATGTATATATATCTAATATATTGAATCCAATTGTTGCGCGCAAGTCCTTCGGACCTCCTTTTGTCGAGCATCTTTTTTTTAGCATTGTCAGCGGAAACGTGTCACGGAGCGAGAGCATTTGACGAAACACGACGGGAATGCAATGTTCCTGGCAAACACACATAGTTTGATCGCACCTGATCGCATGAGTCTTGGACTGATCTCACCTAATTAACAAACTCTCTCTTGGGCGTTGGCCCAAACCTTTCCCGTGATTATTATATAGCTACATAGAATAGGATGCTTTCATCGCGAATCTCATTCTTTCTCTTTCTCTCTCTCTCTCTCTCTCTCTATCTCTATCTCTCTATCTCTATCTCTCCTTCTCATCTATCTCAAACCATTATATTATTATTCATTATTGTATTCTTCTACTCGATCAAACGACTTCGAAACATTGCCATCAAATGGTAAAGATTCATTATCGTCATCGTCATTATCCATCATCATCCGTCCGTTTCCTGTCTCTTGTGATCGAATTATATCGATTCATCTTATGTCGATTCTTTTCCCTCTTTCTTCTTCGCTTCAACTTCTGTTTTTCAACCAAACGACATCGAGGCATCTCTCGATCTCCATCTCCTCTCTCCCCCTGCCCCCCCTCCTCTCCCTCCGGGATATCTCTCGTGGAAACGGGTTTTATCCCGGTTATCGATCTTCTTTGCCAGTTTCGCAACGTTTCGTATCCCGAGAATTCGGTGCGAATTCGGTCGTACAACTCGACTCTCATCCACCAACTTATCCACCGACATCACCACCGACATCACCACTGTTCGTTCACCACACGATACATCCCGCCACACGATATATCGCCCCGCGTTATTAAACGGCCAGGAGGGGGAGGGGAGGAGGGAGGGGGGTTGCGACCGCGTTTAATCAAGTTTTGAACAGGATCGCGCTCTTCGGCCGAATTTCGAAACGCCACGGTGTTAATTGGAAACTCGTTTCTTTGCTCATCCACGTGTGGTGTGCCTTGGTACCGGAAAAAATTACCCTCCGCTCTGCTCGCCCCCTCCCATCCTCTTTTTCAAACGTTCTCGTTTAGAGCGAAGAGCGCGAGAGGATAGGCTCGAATGTAATCAATTTCGTTACACTTTTGATTTGTTTGATCTTCGATCGCTACGACGAGATTAAAATCGAATCTCGAATTATTTCCGAGGTCGTATTGTTTGTACTTTGTATCAATCCTTCGATCGTGAACGGAGGGATAAATTTCGTCTTATCGTTCGAGGATCGTTTAACTCGCACGAATCGCTCGTATTTGCGATTATTTTGCAATTGTTGCGAGGATTGAATCGATCCATCGATCGTTCATTCATTTACTTTTTTTAACAAGAGAAAGAAACGTTGTTGTTACTTTGTACTATTGCCCACCATTTCGTAATCATCTATTCTAAAATGGTTCCTGCGAGTTAAGCTTGAAAAGATAGGGATCGTTAGAGGCAACATCAACGTGATTAAAAAGTGAAAAAAGAAAAAAAAAAAAAGAAAAGAAAAGAATCATCATTGTCATCGCGCGAGAAGAGTTTTGCCAATCATCGCTCGTAGTTCCGGACGGGCGGCAACATTCGGGCGCTGGTTTTCCGATAGCCTCCTTCCTTGCCGGGCGCATTTGTCAGTTGGCTGGTGTCGGGATGGCCGATGGCCGGCCACGCTTCGATTATCCGTTATTGTTATTACGCGGCCCCGTAAATCGGCTTCGAATTTCGATCCGATGCGCGCCCATTCTTTCGAGTCGCCCTCCGTCTCTCGTTCGTCGAATTCGTTCGAACGGAACCGAGTTATCAGCCGTGGAAACACCGCATCGGCACGCCCGTTTAATCGTTCGTTCCCGAAAATGGAAAGCTTCTTGAGAATTAAGAACGATCGCGAGGATTTATAAACAGAGAGTAAGACGAATCTGACGGGAGCGGTTCAGATATTTTTACTTTCGATTTGTGGAAACTGTGTACAGATTAAGAAACATCTTAGCAGTATCTCAACGAGATTGAGAAATCTCGTTTACTTTTTGTCGTAACATTGCGAAAGATATTTTTCGGAGGCGTACTTATTTATTGTTATTTTATTTTATTTTATCGAGTCGCCGTTATCCCGAGCAGGCTGTACGAGTACAGCTTGACGAGTACATTTGCACGAAAAGGTCCTCTCGGAAACGAAGTATCGCATCTCGTATTGATTTTTACCCCGCGAGGATAGAGGATGTTTCAAAGTTTCTCCCGGTTGAAATGAGAGGAATTATGTCTTCTTCTAAAGCCCGGCCGGAACACCCTGTACGATACCCTGTGCAATAAAAACGACAATCCAGCGCAAGCAGGCAAGAGAGGTCGGGGTAATTCTTGAAAAATTCTCGGGGAAATTCTCTGCGCCGCAACGAGAACGAGGGAATTGCGGCTGTGGTGACCGAGTTCCCGAGGCCCCTTTTTCGACCGACAAAATATCTCTCGATCGTTCTCCTTTAATTTTCTACAATTACCCTGCGTAATCTCGATCTCTGCGAGAGATCTTTCTTTCTTTCTTTCTTTCTTTCTTTCTTACGGGAACGAACGATTACCAACGAGATCACTGGACGAAACCCGATACGTAGCCACGGATCATCGTTCGATAAATGGAAAAAGAAGGGAGGAGAGACCGAGGTGGAGGGTCGGCCGAGGGTCGGTTGGAAAGGCCGTGCTCCAATTATGAGAAGCAAATAAGCAAGATTAAATTCGATCCGAGTAAACGGACGCGGGAATCGTGCAATTTATCCCATTTGCGGATCATCTTGTGTATTTCTTCGCTCGAATCAAGATCGACCCCCTTTTTTTTCCGGGATTGGGGGCCTAGCGAAAAATCGACAGGTGTCGATCGGCCGATAAGAGGCAGAACAGGATCGATGGAAATTGCATCACAGGATCGCAGGAAATTAAATCCCTCGTAATCTTTTCTTCGTATTCACGCGCGTGCTCCCTCGAGAGGAAGTCGTTCGATGATCGCGCGAGATAATCGTTTTTCGAATATATTTTCGGCACAAAGTTGACGCGCATCGTGCGTTTCTTCTTTTTCGTATTTTTTTTATTCGAATATTCATTTACGTACGATTACGATTCAATTGGAATTCTCTCGAAAGATGGATATCTTTCGGCGAATTAGAGACTCATTTCCAAGTAGCGGCAATCCTTCGGTTGGATAGGCTAGACGATTTTACGAGCCGGTGTACCGATCCAAAACCGTCCAATTAAAAGGGACGAAAGGATGGCTGGTTGTTGAGAGAGGCGTACCTGTTTCATAATTAATCGAATTGGAGCACGGCCAAAGGATATCCGAAGCAGCCTTGACGACCTCGTTAGGCTCTCGTCGATCGGTTTCGCGGTGTCTTTTGATAAATCCGCGACTCTTGCCGCCCCGGAAACGGATGTAATTGGCTGCGCCTGTCGTGTGCTCGTGACGAAACGTAAACCACGTCTCAACCCTCGAAGTTAGCTTCTAAGCTTTTAAACGAAAGAAGGGAAAGTAAATGGGAATGGAGAGGAATATATATATATATATATATAAAAATAGAATATCGTGAATTAAAAACTCGAGTTCGTATTCATAATCGGGGAACAGGCATATTTAAACTTTTTCCAATTTAACAAGCGTATTTTAACGAAACTTTTCGTACGCGCGTTTATCTTCGTCAATGAAATATTTAATTTTCAAGTGTTCCATCCGAATCTGTGGCCGTGGAATGAAAAGTGGAAAGAAAAGCTCGAGCGTCGAGTGTACGAATCCAAAGTTCTTCGGATCTTTTAATTAGGACAAACAAAAAAAAAAAAAAAAAAAAANAAAAAAAAAGAAAAAAGAGAGAAGAAGAAATAACAAGGGAGAGAATAAATAAAAGATAAACGGTGATACGGTTCAAGCAGCCAATTATATCGGGGTTAAAGTGTCCAGCGAACAGAGTTTATTAACGTTAAAAATCAGGATTGGGATAAAAATTTGGAAATTATGGGAATATAATCGTATCTTCTGCGCGAATACTTTGCGACATTCGTCTGCATCGAAATCGAAAGTGCCACGACTCGCTCATGATCGACACGATCGACTGGAAACCGGAAGGAGGCGACCCCTCTCCCTAAAGTAGATCCATCAGATTAAATCGAGTCGCTCTTCGATAAAGATACCTCACTTCCACGGTGTTTATCTTTATCTTTTTTTTCTCTTTTTTTTTCTTTTTTTTTTTCCTCTTATTTTTACGATTGCAATCACGTCGCTGTTGCATGCCTGGAACCTTGAGAGCCTCGAACATGGGACGTTCGAAGGGACTGATTGTCGCTTTTTTTTTCTGCTCGTATGCTCGTTGGGAAGAGGAAGCATGTCGCGTGAGCATGAGCCTAGTCACTGTTCATACTATGTGTGTACATAGATGTACGATCATTAGATGTACCATAGATACCGCTTTCTCTTGACTCTGTTTCTTTTTCTTTTTTTTTTTTTTTCTTCTTTCTTTCTTTCTTGTCAAGCTTGCGTTCGTTCTACCATTTTTACTTACCTTCACTCTTGAACATGTAGACTCACCTCGCTATTCGGACACACGTTTTTTATAATACGAGAAGAAGGAGGAGGATACCCGAGCGAACGATCCGGAGACGTCACAAATTTTTTGAAACGCGGTCCTCGGGTGTGCTCCGTCCGCTGCGCACATCGCATCGCCAGGAATCGCTACCATTCTCTTCTCAGCTTCTCTTTCATCAGAATCCCCCGCGACAGAAATATCCTGCGACTGATGAACCGGATCGATACCGGGGCGGTATTTCGCTTTGACGGTTGATTAAACGGTATATAGAATATCCGTGGACGTTGGCGCAGGATGTTGTTGCGGGGAGGATCAGCTTGAAAACCATCAACGTCACAGCCCGTTCACGAATTACTTTCATAGCGATCACGGTCCAGTCACGCCAGGAATTTGGAAACCAATCCACGATATTACCGGTTGCCTTCCAAGATTCCGCCAGATTAAACGTCGCATTGGTTCCCAAGTTCGAAAGCGTGAGAGAGACACGCGTCTCCCTTCATCCCTCTATCATTCTCACGAGAGACGCGACCAAGTGTAACGATGAAATAGAAAGAAAAAAACCAACGAAAACCCGTTCTCCGCGCTTCGTAGCATCCCTGGCAAGTGAGCAGAGACGGCCAGAAGATCATTGGCCACATGGTATTGCGAAAGCAGTCCGGATCCGGGAGCAGTAGTAGCATACTCGGATTGAAAGTGGTCGGCGGCAAACTGTTGGAGGATGGCTCTATGGGCGCCGTCATCGAGAAGGTGAAGAAGGGTAGCACGGCCGACATAGAAGGTCAACTCAGACCCGGTAAGAATTAAATCTGACCCAAAATTTCCCGGCATCCGAATATTCCTCCACCCATCTTCGATGCTTGGTCATCTACCTCGCCAATATTCCACACACCGTGCGATTCATCCACGCCGATTAAACCCAATATCATAAACAGTTTCTCCTTTTTTATCCTTTCATTCGTCCACATTCGAAACTCGGTACTCTTCGACTCGGCCAAATCCCAAGTGAATAAATCCCGCTGTTGGAGGCGAAAGAAGGATCCGACCGGACGATTCGACGATTTCAGGTGACGAGGTGATCAAGTGGAACGGCAGATCCCTTCAGGGCAAGAGTTTCGGCGAGGTTTACGACATCATCGCCGAGTCGAGGCAGGATCCCCAAGTGGAGCTGGTGGTCTCGCGGAATATATCGTCGACCGCGGGTCCTATGGCTACGGGGGGGCCTATGACCGGGGGGCCGATGGCGGTGAGGAAGACCGCGCAGACCCAGTGGAGGCAAAAGCACCCGGAGACGATATCCGGGCCGCAGCATCACAAAGGTGACTATGCGCTTCGCGCTTCGCTCATCCCCTTCCCTCTCTTCTACACTCTTTCTTTATCCTTATTAACCATTCCATTCCTCCTTGGACACACACGCTCTCTCTCGGGAAGATTGCTCACTCTTCTCACACTCTCTATCTCTTCTCTGTCTCCCTTCTTGCCTGCTACCATATGTATATATACATATAAATATATATATATATATATATATATATATATATGTACGTATACGTATAGAGCGTGACACACGGTGACGGATGCGTTCGAAGAAAAGAAAAAGAAAAGAAAGAAAAATGACGATAATAATTCGAACCGTCCCCGGAGCGTAACGCGCGTTTACACGACAAAGGTAGAGAAGGTAGGCAATGGCGATAGAGATACACTACTTTAGGATATGTGCTATGGGAATTTGTTGAGAACGAGTAGTAGTTTGAGAGGAAGGGGACGCGTGCGGTGGTCTAATGGCGAGTGCACGCGTCCCTTTCGTTACGGGGTGTGATTGTTGAACGATGATCGATCGAGTTTTTCTTGATTATTTTCGTAGAAAAGAGAGGTCGCGCAATGATACGATGTTGTATCGTTCAACAATTTTACCTTCGCGTAGTATCTATTACGTAGTAGTATATATATATATATATAGAAAATTTCTAGAGCTAATTTAGAGAGATTTTTAATTTACAGTATTGTCGTATTCTTATCTATATCGGGGAAATTTTAATTTGTTGAAAAAGAAAAAGAAATAAAAAAAGAATGTCACGAATTGACACGAGAGCATTGGAAATATCGATCGGGTCCTTTTTCCTCCCCCCCTTAGTCACGTTACCATTAATTATATATACCTATAGTTATAGTTAAGCGCATTGATAGCGACGCTATATTGTCACAGATTATATGATTTTTCGTATTCCAGGTCTTAAGAAATGTATTCTATGGGGTAGGCCTCAAATTTCTTAAATTTCTCGAACCCTGAATAATCGGTGTTTTATATACCCCCGTCCGTGTTGTGGTTCATGGTTCTCGTTACCCCCTCCCCCTCCTCTCTTTTTTCGAATCTTTCCGCTGTATTATTCTCTTTCTTTTTTTCTCTTGCCGATAATCTTCCTTGGGGAGGAAGATTCGGAAGGGAGATGGCGAAACCGGAAAGGATTTGCCATTCCCCGGACGGAATGCAACGATTATCGGGGATGCAACGGGAAATCGAGATCGATGCTTTAACCAGAGAACCATTACGGATTGTTATTCCGTCCGTGCTTTCTGTATTATCCATCGATGTTGTCGTAGAGCTTAGAAAGTAGTGCCGATGCACCAACCCCTTCCCCTTCCCCTCTCTGTCCCAATGCTAACACCGCCGTTTTTTTTTACGATTTTTACATAGTATTTTTTTATGGGAGCAACAACTTTGACGAACAACTTTGAATCTTTTTTTTTTTTTTTTGCGTCGTTTCGTAACTCTCCCCTTCGCATTGGCCTCGCACCAAGGACGCAATGCATTCAAAATCTTACGTATAATGTATAATGCGCCATTCTTTTGCGCGATTCTACCCGTTCTTTTTTTTCTTTATAGACTCTTCGAAAGCTGCACTCACCGTTCGTGACTTAAGATCACGAATCGCAATAAAAAAAAAAAAAAAAAAAAACAAACGAAACAACGGCGAGCGTTAAACGTTGCTTGCGATCGTTCCGTTCGCGAGCATTCGAACGCACGGGGGAACGGCGATACGCGTCTCCCCTCTTTCTCTTTCTTTAATTTTTAATTTCTGTATTCTATATAAAAAAAAAAGATTGTCGAATAATTGTGAAGCAGTTTTTTATGTTTATTTTATAAATCGACCGATCGTCGCCAGACGCCTTCAGGAACCGAACACGAAGAGAAAACGCAACGCTAGAGATGTGCGTATGCGCTTTCCATCCTAGCAGTCACGCGGAGCTGCGTAATAAACGCATCCGCGAACAACTTTCGCCGGCTGCGTACGACGCATGTCTACGCGTGGGACGGGGTTGCTCTCACTCGTGCGACCAAGAGACGTGTCCTGCACGTGAATTGCGATATACCTCCCGAGGAATGGATGCCCGCAAAATCGCATTACACGCACCCTGGCGATGGAAGGGAAGTTACGGGGTACCCGGCGAGTCTTAGAGCGATTCGAGGAGCGATCCGAATCCGAATTCGTGATCCTGAATCTGAATTTCCATGGGATTATAAATCCGCTCCCCTTAAACCGGATCCCGGCCAGATCCCCGCTTCCTGAAAATCGTCGAATCGCTGTAAGATCCATACGTAATCCATACGACCAACCCGGAATAATCCAAATTCACGGTCGCGAAAACGTTTTATACGTTCTAGGAAACAAGTTATATCGAAGATATGTTGGCCGTAAGTTCCTCGAATTTCTTGCATTTGCCCGTAACTCGAACGTCACTCGATATACTCCCCGTATATATATATATATATACATCCTCCCCTGTCCCAAGATTCGGTGCCCCAGTAAAAGATCGTCGAACCCACGTCCCCGTTTTGCCCACATTTTACGAGTTTGTCCGCGAATCTTCCGTATATCCACCTTCTATAGATGGCGATACAAAAGCTAGTTGCACTTTTTTTCTCTTTCTTCTTCCCTTATTCCTCCTCGCTCGTATCATTGTACGATATTTATATTTTATATACGTTATGTACATACATATAGATATATATATACATATATAGACCCTTTAACACACCCAAAGTAGCCAAATTCCACCGTTCGAAGCACGCAAGGTTACAGGAGGAACATCTTAAAATCTAGCGTGGCACGTTGAACGATCACTTGCAGAGTTGTACGACGCGAGGCGCGAGAAACCTTCGGTTTTAGTGACCTCGCCTGGCTCGCCGGATTTCCACGCTCGGGGACACGCGAGACACTTACGGCACGCGTCCAGCAACGCGAACGTCGGTGGTAATCTCCAGGTGAAGCTGAGCTTCGATCCCGTGGCGCTACGGTTGATCGTCACGTTGATCTGCGCGGCAGGGCTCACGCCCAGGAGCAACGGCCAACCCAGAAATCCCTACGCCAAGATCTTCCTGCTTCCGGACAAGAGGTGAGTGTTCTCGATCGCCTCCCCTCTGAAAACCGATACGCCTCCACCGTCCCTTTCCACTCGTTTCCTCTCCTTAAATATATATATATAATTTCTCGCGTGAAGAAGGACGTAATTCCACTTTTTCGTCGAATCGATAGAGAAAGGGAAGTGCATTTGAAATTGTGCGGAAAGTTTTTCCCAAAGAAGAAAAAAAAAGAAAAGAAAAAAGAAGAACGGAATATACGATGCCCCCTCGAAAACGTAGAAACTGTCCTCCTTTCAGAGAAAGATAAATCATTTCCTTAAGAAGCGTTCACGGGCCAAAAGATAGCCGCTCAGTTTGGCCGGGTTGCCAAACGATGTTGCCATCAAAACTTCTCTAACCCTTCGAGGTCGTCTCTCGTTAACCGCTTCCCCTCGTCGATATCATTCCCTCTAGATTCCACCAAGAGCGATTATAATTTATAATCTCGCCGTTTCTCTGTTTCCTTCTGCGTGGGCAGCGAAAAGTCGAAGAGACGCACGAAAACGTTGGCCAACACGAACGACCCGAAGTGGAATCAGACGTTCGTCTACGAGGGTATAAGGAGGGTGTCGGAGCTGAGGAAAAGGGCGCTCGAGATCACTGTGTGGGATTACGGGAAATACGACACGAACGACTTCCTCGGCGAGGTGGTGCTCGAGCTCGGGGCGGCGCGTTTCGACGAGGAGGCCGAGTGGCACCCCCTGACGGGGCATAGCGAGCACCGGCATATTGGGTATGTGGAACAGCTCTCGATAATATATACCTTAGGATGTTTCACTTTATTCATGCCTCTGAGATGAGACGCAAATCGCTAAAAAACGCATTCGTCCGCTTGTTGCAATGAGAGACTAGGTGAGAATTTTATTTTAGAGATTGGTGACTGACGAATACTCTTTGCGCTTCTTAGTCGCTGAATGCAATACAAAATGTGTCTTGGGACCGAGTCTTCTAGAGCTTTGCGAGAAGGGCCTAGGCCTCTGTGTAGGCGTGCAGCCATTTCTTTCCGAGTATTTTAGGCTGAGGGAGAAGGAATCCGTCGACGGTCTCGTGCGTTTTACCCTTTTATCAAATAAACCGCGCGTGGTAACATATATTCTCGTCAAATGAACAGAGAGAACGGAGTAAATCGATAAATAAACAGAGATAGATAGATAGATAGATAGATAGATAGACAGAATAAAAAAGAAAAAAGAAAAAGATGATAGATGAAGTAAAGAGTAAACTAATTTCGAGGATAGTATAACAAGGGAAGAAAATTATTCGCGGCGTGTTTCGTTCAGCGGAATCCGTTCGGCTGATTCTTTTTCACCTAGCGCTAGCGAGAAGAGCGTAGCGTGAGATCTAAATTTCGCGTTGCACAGATACTATCAGGAGCCCGATGACATGGTGATAACTCCGGTGGACTGCCATCTCAGTCCACCGTCGACGACGTCGCGGCTCAGCGACTCTGACACTTCCGAATGCGATATCACGGACTGCGACGGCTCCAGGGAGCAAAGGAGAACAGCTGACGGTGCCAGTATAAGCAGTATCGGCAGTTCCTCCAGGTAAGAGCATCCTTCGAAAATCTCTCCACGGTCGCGTCCCCGAACGACTCTCCCCAACCACTCTACCGACCAACCCCTCCCGCGAAACGATATATATATATATATATATATATACATACATATAAAACTGGGGGCAAGAGAGAGAAAGAGAGAGAGAGAGAGAGAAAGAGAAGCGCCGTGCTATTTTCACGGCTGGCATGAAAGAAATCTTGCACGGAACACGGGCGGATACGAGAACGTTTAACGAGAAATAAACCGACATCGTCGATTTCGTGGGAGTCGCGGATCGCCACGTAGACACCGTCGATGCGGATAGAATTAAATGTTATGGGCAAAAAGTTTGAGACCGCCTTCTTCTTTTATTTTTTTTTTTTTTGTTTCCCTCCTTTCTTTCCTTTTTTCTTTAAAAACACGTTTAGTTGCATCTACGCGTAGCTCTTATTATCATCGTGTTTATTTGCATGTAGATCGATGCGCTTTGATGAGTTTTTTTTTTTTTTCTGTTTTGTAGCAAACTTGGTTCGTCAGTCGATGTTTGTGATTTTCCTTCGAGTTAGAAGAAATATTCTTAAAAAAAAAAAAAAAAAAAAAGAAGGAGCTGATTCTTTCCAGCCTGAGATGTGAATTTGGAATATTAATATTTTTTTTTCCTTTCTTCGATCGTGGAAAGAGGAAGAGAAACAATGACAGTGATAACGAAATTTATTTATGGGGTGGTTTCAAACTTCCTGCCCTAAGAGGACACCACGAGATTAGACGAATTATTCTCGCGAATCCATCGTTCGACGAAGAAATTTTGTACAGGAACAGAGAGAAAGAAAGAGAAAGAGAAGGAGAAAGGAAGAGTCGTGCAAGATTCGATGCGGGTGCGTTTCGCGAGGAATTAATGGCGCCTTAAGTAGCGTGTCTTTGGCCACGCGGCCAAACGCGGAAACTCGCGTTACTAATCCGTCGAGCGTTATTATTCCCGACTTAAGATCTGGTTCACGGGTCTCGTAATCGGCACCGTAACTGTCGTCGTAATGGTCATTCCCTGGGCGGCACGCGACGCGGTCTTAATCGTCGATAACACGAGATACTCGAGATTAGCCTATTCGAACGTTTCCTCCATGTATCGTTCACCTTTGTTGCTCCTTGTTCCGGTTCCATATTGAAAAGACACCGGATGAAATTCAAGCTCGATCGTACGATTGATCATTTTCGAAAATTTTTCTCGTTTCTTCGTCGTCGCCATTCTCGATTCATAAAAAAAAAAAAAAAAAAAAAANAAAAAAATTTCAAGAATTTTATTCCTATAGATATTTCTTTTTAAGCACGTGTTGGAATAATCGACGCTTAAACGGTCCCCAAGTATTCTCCCCCTCCCCCTCTTCCTCGAGGTTCGATTTCACCAGGTGAATCTCCGGACAATTGCGAGAAAAGGAGGGATAGACCGGCGTTTTTGTGTGTCGTGTGTTCGCGGAAGACGGCGTCGTCGTGACGTAAAGCCGTCGACCACAACGATGAAAGAGAGACAATGGCGGCGGGGGCAACGGGGGTGCGAATGAGAGTGTAGCGGGGGAAGAGAATTAGAGAAAGAGAGAAAGGGAGATGAGAGAGAGAGAGAGGGAGGGAGAAAGGGAGAGAAAGAGAAGCCGGGAGCCAAGTTATAAAACTGGGCAACAAGCCAATTGACATGCCAGTTGGCCTGCAACCACCGCTGGCTGCGGAAGCCAGCCTCCGAGCCCCGTATCCATATTAATATTCCAACGATGACGTCCGATCGTTATTTGTGAGTGCAAAGTGCTCCCTTCTTCGTGCATCCAGCCTTCCGATCCTTTATTTTTCCCCGAAGGGAGGGAAACGGAATAACACCGACTATCGCCAAAAGTTGCGGAGTTGAAGCGAAAGGGGTGAGAAAAACGGAAGGGCGAGCAAATTGGAGAAAGGGGAGTGAGAGAGAGAGAGAGAGAGAGAGAGAGAAAGAGAAATAAAAAAAAGGAGAGAAAAAGGTGAAAAACGAAAAGGATGAGATTCGAAGCCCACGGCTACGGACGGTGGTGGTAACCCCGCGTCGAACGGCGTGTCTAAACAAATCCACTTTGAACGAGACGGTTAATAAAGGCTTTTTGCCCCAATTCGTGCAATTTCCTCGAATTTTTGTGAGCACCGGTATCATTCGGATTCAATGGCTCGCGAGGGCATGGGTCACGGGCCTGTGACCAGTTAATCGACTCCTTTTTTTAAACCTTCGAGGATCCGTTGCTGCGCGACACCCACACCCTCTCCTATCGGAATTCTCTTTTCGCGAGAAATTCAACGTTTATCACGAGTGAGACGCGAAAGCAACGTGGCTCGTCGCGGAGTCGCATCGCGTGTGACGTGGAAAAGAGTGTTCAGAGCGTTGTATCGTTTCTAATTCGATGCTCATCTTGATGAACATCTGCCGAAGATACCACGAGGTTACCACTCGGCCGTGCCCCGAACAATTTTCTTCTCTTGAAATCTCTTTCGATCGACCATTTTTCTCCACCAATTTCACCCACCAACTTTTGTAAATTTATTCCGCGGATGATGGTGGCGGAACAAATGCGATTGCCGTTCGGGATACCCTGTACGCCTCGCCTCGTTCGCTTTCGTTTGTAATCAATCGCCTTATCTGTGCCCCGACCCTCTTCGATTCGAGGGTGCTCGAATAATAATATCCGAAAGTTGGCGGTGCTCGTTGAAAATTGCACGACGCAGCGTCGAATGACCGAGGAAAGTTGGCTGATCTTCCGCCCGAAAGTTTCGCGAGTTCCCCGCCACCCTCTCTCTCTCTCTCTCTCTCCCTCTCTCTCGATACGTTCAATTTTTCATTTCGAGCACACGCGGCGAGGAGCGACGCGGATTCATTTCTGCCGCCTCTCGAGGTCGTGTCGAGGAATCTGTAGAAACGAATCGGAACGGCGCGTGCTTCGTTAATCCACGATGGCCTCAATCTGCGAGTCGCTGACCAATTTTTTCCCCCTCTCCCTTTCCTTCCATCCCTCCCCGTTCCGAAGGGACGATGACGATGACACCGAGGCGAGCCCGCGAAAAGGAATAATTGAAACGTTCGAGGCGACACGTTGGAGGGATAGGCGAGGGTTGCAGAGATATTTAATAACCTTCAATATCGTCTAATAGGATTATCGAAAAGGGTTTCACTGGTTACATTAATAAATCCATCGTCGGCCGAGTCGGCGGCCGCGACGTGTCGCACGATCAGATTACTCTCTTTTCTTTCTTCCGCTAGCGTTCCTTTTCCGCCCCTTTATTATTATTTCTTTTTTTCTGAGGAAATATATATATATATATTTCTTTCCATTCATCGTTAACACTTGATTATTGCCACGAATGATAGGTTTACGTTTGAGAACGTAACACGATAATGATTTCTAATGATGACGTTTTAATTTTTGGCGATAGCCAATCTCTCCCTCCTTCCCTCCTCCTCCCCCTCCTCGATCGATTTTTCCTTTCTTATTTATCTCTTCTTTGTTTGTTTATTTTTTAGGTTTCATAATATGTCGTCAAATTATAAACGGTACGGCCATTAAAACTTATATTTCCTCCTCTCTCTCACACGCAAGCACGCGCGTTCTTGCGTCCTCGCTATGCTAGATTGAAGGTAGCGTGTAGATGAAATTCCCTTCCCTTCCCTCCTCCCCTTCTGACGAGTTAGATCGACGAGAACAGAGCCGTTCGCAAAAATGAATCAAAGAAATGCCGTTATTCAAAGAGATTAGAGCGCGTGTTTGCCAGACCATATTTTTCCACACCTTTTTTTCCCTTCGAAAACGGTCGAACGACTAACGACCACGGCCGGAGTTTCGCGCGTCATTATCGAAGAGAAACGTGGGAAATCTAGGAACAAACCCACGTTCGATCCTCCACGCATCCAACGATAAAAATCATTCGTGTCCGCGTTGCATCGCCGACAACAACAACAACAACAACAACAGAAGGAATTCATCAAGTAGAATCGTTGGGGAAAATTTTTCGAACCTAGCCGTTCTTGTTCGTTCCACGATAAACTTGTTATATTTGAATAATATTTGATCCTATATCGAAATAATAATATTCGAACTGGGTTGCTATATCTAGTACGGAAATGTTGGAAATTCGCGAGGTAACGTTCGTTGATAATAATACACGTACTCTTCGAGACGTATTCGAGTCGCTTCCGAAGCAAGGGATCACGCAGCTCCAACTACCCCCGTATTAGTTGCTCGTGGTTGCTTCTACTCTCGTCCTCTTGGTGCTCCTCTTCGCTTGCGCGCGGATCGTCGTATGTGCACCGATCGAGTAAACGATAGAAATAAATAAACGAAAAAAAAGAAAAGAAAAGAAAGAAAAAACGAGTTCAGCGTTTCGCTCATCGAGGAGAAACCGTTAGTTTCGTTTCTCGTCGAGTGACCACCACTCGGATGGAGACGATTGGACGAAAAATTGAGAGAGAAAAAAAAAGAAAGAAACAAAAGAGGAAGAAAAAAGCGCAAAAAAAAAAAAAAAAAGAAAAGGAAAAGAAGACGAGTTAGTTAGGCGCAGAGATTCAGTAGGTCACCGATCATGTAGACACACGTAGGCGTCATCATGTCATCGCTTCTTGCATCTCTCCACGTTTAAAAAAAAAAAAAAAAGAAAAAAAAAACGAGACTTAGATTTGCGCGAGGACATGGCTTTTTAGTAACGCTTAGTGCAAACGCGATGCATCGGCCGGGGTGGCTCCGTTTCTCTGTTCTTTCCCCCTTTTCCGTCCCGACAATGCTTTTCTTTCTTTTTTTTTTTTTTTTTCACCGATTCGAAATTTGTTGTTGGGCAACGTCCAGTTCCGTCGATGCTTATTGGTGTGCCATCGTTGCCAGGAAGCGGAAACTACGGATCGTCGGCTACGTAGCGCCAATGATTCGCGCGCGATCAATCTCCCCCGCCACCGCTTCCCTACGCATTTGGCTCGGTTGATCAGCCGCGGGACCATTGTTTACAGCAGCCAAACCACCCTTACTTTACCGAGTAGCTTCTTCTTGCCAACAACTGGAAACTGCCCCTCCACCGTGGAGGAGGACACCACGGACAACGGTCCAAGCTACGGTCTTATTTGGTCCGCTTTTATTGCCAACTAAGGGTGCAGTTTCGCGCGTGGATCGCGACCACTCGGTTTCATTACGTGCTTCGCGGATCGATACTAGCGTTTACCAGCCTTTTCCGCGGAACGAGGTAATCGGTATATCGAAATTAATTCGTTTCCACGGTGTTCTACGATGGAAATATCCACGGGTGGAAACATAAAATGTTGCGAAAGTGAATCCTGGAAATAAATCGGTTTGATCGAATCGTTCGATTAAAGTGCATCGTCTGTTGGAATCTCGAGATTCCATTCGAAAATCGAATTGTAAATTGTTCCATTGTAAGGGTTGAAACGGTTAACGGTCGTAAAAGAATAGAACGTACAGAAATACATATTCGAAGGGAACAAGCTGGCTCGAGCTTTTTTTGAAAAACTTTGACCGACCGATCGCCTTTCTTTTTTTTTTTTTTTTNTTTTTTTTTTTTTTTTTTTTTTTTTTTTTTTTACCCCAAATACGGAGAACACCTTCTTGCGTTTATCCATTATTGTTTCCGCCACGTAGTAGAGCGTGTCCTCTGTGCCATGGTCTGTCGCTTACCGAGCTCGTTCGTGTGTAACCAGTCGTACGCGGATAGAACCGCGCCACGGTTGCAACGCGCAGAGCGTAGAGAATGCATATTTGATAAAGCATCGCAAAATGAGAACCAGCCTGGCCGCATGCACTCTGTAATCTAGCGCGAGAGATCACAAGCACTCGCCTTACCCCTCCGCCCATATTTTGAACGCATCTATAAAAATAAATAAAAAAAGAAAAAAAAAAAAAGAAAAAAAAAAAGGGTAACACGACGATCACTAATCGGCGAAAAAATGAACGCATGCCGGAGCAGCCACTATTCTAGCCCCCCGCCGGAAAGGGAGCTCTGCATGGACGGGGAGCATCGAAGTCGAAGGGACATGTCGCCGCAGGGGCGTAAACGGGCCCTTATACGGGATCAACCGGCGTCTATTTCTGGTTACCAGACCTATCGCAAGGTGAGTCGTTGCTGCGTCATTTTGCACCCGATTTTTCCCAACCCGACCGCGTTTCCCTCCTCTCCGTTCCGAGAATTTAACGATCGGTCGAGGAACGGTTTTGGAGGAACGGATAGATTTCGTTTGCCAAAAAAGAAAAGAATCGTCTTTGGACGTCCCTCGAAGGGAGCTACGCCGCGAAACTTTTAATTACATTACGCGATGTAATATTTTCCTCGAACTGTTTCTGAAACAGTTATTCTCTATTTATCTATTTTCGTCGCATAGCTTCCTTTCGCCGCTCTTATCCAACGTCTGTGCGGTCGCGATTATCGATTCGTTCCCATCTATGGAATATGGGGATATGGAATATGGGGTGACGGTTAAATATATTTGATTCCCAGGACGATATTCATCGAGGAATGATGAGCCACAGGTCGCACAGCGCAGCGCCCATGGATTCGCCGAGCCTTCGGTATCGCGGAAGGTCTCAGAGTCCCACCGGTCATCGCTCTCTGTCCCCGCCTGAGCACAGATCCATGCCCTACTCGCACGGCTTCGTTCCACCCAGGTACGCGAGGATCGAACGAAGAAAAAAAAAAAAAGAAAAAACACGAGGACGTTGTTTTCCACGTTGATTTTCTCCAGATTCAGCTCGAGGTCGGCGACAGCCACTCCCACCGGTAGCCCGAAGAAGAGGCAGCTGCCTCTGATCCCCTCCGCCCTGAAGGAAAGGGCTGTCCAGGATCTCGAGGAGCGGGCCAGATTCATGAGACACCGAAGTAGACAGGTGCACACGTACAGGAGTACGGGGATGGGAGGTGAGCGGTACTCCTCCTACTTTTACGGAATATTAATTCGAAAGTTTTCGAATACCACAGTTTGCGATACGGGAACATTAATATAACCTCGTGAAAATCCGCAACCCTAATTGACCCTGTTTTCCGAAATTTCTGGCCGGGACGAATAAGCCCGGCACGAGTTCGTAATTAAAGACGTTGTTAAATTCGGTATTTGGATGTAATTTGACGCGGTGTATAATAAAATTTTGGAGGTGTAGAATTTTTGCAAATAGTTTTCAACTTTTATTTTTTTCGAGTCGAGTCGAATCTCTCTTCTATTCTCAAAGGGAGGGAGGGATGATTCTCAGGTTTTCTTTCAGGTTGGGAAAGACATTATAGCGGTCTGTCGGACTCGGATCTGCTCTCGATAGATCACGATCCGTTATCGTTGCCGCACAGTCACGCTTATCGAATGCACAGACCGCGAAGGGGACACTTAAGTCCCGACAAAGACGTACTTGGAGATCTCGGTGACTCAGATATGGAGAGTGTAGCCTCCGTGACGAGCAGTGCCTTCAGTACGCAATCGGAACGACCACGTGGCTCTAGAGGACTAATGTGAGTATAGTTCAATGTCTATATATTTTATATATATATATATATATACATATATAATTTTTTGTCGAGTCAATGACCTTGCATTTCAAAATCAGTGTACAAAGCAAGACAAATTTCCATAGAGAAGAAATTATCCCTTTAGAGGAGACAGCCATCCACTGTACCATTTTTACGCGACATTCGGTTAAGTCCACACTTTTCTCCTTCTCTCTTTTCATTCTCCTCTTCTTCCATTACCGATCGCATTTTCCATAGCTCGGAGAATAGTGTAAAAAAACGCTTTCGTCCCCCATATGTGTAAATTAATGATAATAATCGTCGTTATTGCTCGTCGATGTGACCATGCACACCGTGCACAGAATGGAACATTTGATGGCTTACCTTCTCATCGACGATAATCCCTGAATTAAATGGACATTGCCGAATGAAATGACGTCCCGTAGTTGCACTTGTCTCATCTCCCCCTCCCCCGCCGCCGCCGCCGCTGCCGCCGCCGCCGCCTGCTTGATAGGTAACCCCTTCCGCGCTCTCTTCGGAGGATTCTCTACCTGCGTTTAGTTTGGCTAGAAACTTGCACCTCCTATGCACCGTGTCAATGTCCATTTAATATTGTCCCATTCTAAATAAAGCAGGGATTAGTGCGTGGCGTTGGTCGAACGGCTAGGTCTACCTACGTTGAAAACACGTCACAATTATATACGTACGATTTTCCGCGCCGTCATGATTCACGATTTAATAAATAAATCAATCGTCGCACGTCCTACCTGCAGATACAACTTGCATTTATATATACGTATATATATGTGTATATATATATATATATATATATATATA